TTTTCTATACGAACCTAAGATTAAAAAACAAATAAAAAGGAAAATATGTAAATTAATACTACAATAAAAATCTTACCCGAACACGAATTTCATTTGTAAATACTTGATCATATACACCAGCACATGACAGTGTAAATGTTCGATCAACATATGTTACTGGTGTTTGTGATATATAAGCGATTTGTCGAAATAAACTTTGATAAGCATCAATGGATTCAATGCCTAAAATAAAAATAAAAACTTATTTTTTCATTCTAATAAGATTTTCAATATATATTAATATACCTGAAATCATGGCACCTTGTTTTGTAACTTGTTTTTCTAGATTAGATAATTCTGGTATAATTAATTGTTCAGTTTTTGATAAAGATGGTATTGCTGTTACAGTACAATCTTTAATATCACCTATAATAATCAATACAAAATTAGTCTTTATAAAAGAAAGAAAAAAAGACAATTTAATTATTTACCTTGATTTTTTTTCATTGCATTTGTATAGATTGATAAAGTTCGAAATAGATAAATACCACGATTTATAACATCTTCTGGTACTAAATAATTTGTATCACCTTTAAGTTCAATTTTAACTGGAACTTTTGGTTCATCAATTGATATATAACGTGTAAATGTTGGTAAATCATATGTATTGACTTCTCCTAAACATTTAACACGTGTACGAATTGTTATCTTTCGTTGACCATATGGACCAATGGGTTCAAATGTATTACGATAAACAAGATGTTTTAATAATTCTTCATATGATTCAGTTGTATCTGTACGTAATATCCATACTGATCGATTAGAATTACTAACAAATTCCTAAGATAAATAAAAACAATAAGTTTTATTGTATAGACAATATGAATTATACATACAACATTTGATCCAGATTGAACATCAGGTATATCAAGATATTGATGACATTCTCGAATACAATTAGATGATCGTTGTAATTCTTCTTTTTGTTCAATTATAAGACCAGATAATTGACCATGAAAATGTTGAACCAAACGAGATGCTCGTGCTAAATTGAATAGTTTTTTTTTTTTTTTTTTTAATATAAGAAATGTAGTGAAAGGGAAGCTTGAATATCTTTTCAACAAAAAATATTACTATTAGAATCTGTTTGGTTCGGTTCTAAAAGACCGCAGACTGATTTCATCTAAATCTGATATTCTAATACATTTGTTAATTTGTCTATAAATTTTGACTTGATTCGGTTCGGTTCGAAAAAAAAACCAAACCGATCCTATCGCTAATTAAAATGTCTGTTACTGATTTTGTTTTTTTTTTGGATCCAACATTTTGTATAAATTGTTTTGTTTATATTACGATATAATCTATGATAATTTCGAAATGACATGAAGAATAAATATCTGAAATTGTTGTTATGACATGAAATGGAAATTCTTCTGCGTAGATTTATTTGGTGATTAAAAGTTGTTGACGTCTTTCAAGTTCTATTCTATTCTATTCTATATTGATATGTATTTTGTAGTGGAGCATCTGAAGGGAGGGCGAGAGGGCTCAGTTTCTCTAGAAAGGTTTCTACCGCCCCCCCCCCCGCGATGGCTTGGGCCAAGGCTGAGCCTCCTTAGAAATTTTTTCTGGTTAAGCTATTGATATTTTGAATCCTTCAAATAAATTAGCTAAGTGAGTTTGACCAATGTTATCAATTTATACTGTTAAGGATCTCTATGGACATATAGACAAGGACAAGGTTTCACTCCCTCAATATGAATCTCGTTGAAACTTATTTTGAGTAGCAGTCATTCACTTCAATATATAAACAAAAATTGAACTTGACCTATTAATATTATTAATATACTCTGTAGTAAGTATCCCTTTGGCATAACTAAAGAGATTAAGTTTGACATATTCGCATGGTTTCCATATGAAAGTGTCAGACTGAACTTTAATCGAAGGTATATATTTATGTATATTTTTTTTTGTCTTACCATGCCAGCAAGCTCCTAATGCAAACATTGTATTGTCAGTTCCTTCAATAACTGTTAATGGAATCTCTTCGATAACTCGAAAATTATCTTTAGTTGTAACAAATAAATTTCCATCAATATATAAATCAATCTTAAATAAAAGATTAAAACAAAGAATAAATTTTTTTTTTTAGAAAAAGAAAATTTTCTTGTTAAATGACATACTTTTTCTGGATAATTAACAATAAATTTATATGAATGCCATTGATTATCATTTATTTGTGAAATTTTCCACATCCATTCAGACGCATAGGCTGTATTTAAATTTGATGATAATGGTCCTTTACGTAGTAATAATTTTATATAATTATTTTGAATAAATAGAGCAGTATGATGACGATTTTTTACTAAATAAATTTTTTTTTTCGTTATTTCTTTTTTTTATATATAAGTGTCAAATAAATTAATTTAACTTACATTTTTTATCACTTTTACAAAATATATGTTCTTTATCATTATTATTTTTATTATCATTTGTATGTTTCATCCACATACGAATGATAAATTCATCATTGAAATGACCTGAAAATTCGGATTGATTAACCATTAATGCTTGATTATGACCATTGAATGATGTTATTTTTGATTGAGGAATTTCATTTGACTTATCATCTTTTGCTAATAAAACATATTCACGATCAATTGTAGCTAAAAGAAAACTTTGTTTATCTCTAATTTTTAAGAAAAAAAACAAACACTACATACAACATTGATCATGATTACAACCACTATCCAATCCATTTGTATCGAGTTCAACTGTTCCAACAATATCTTGAACATTACATGTTTCATCACATGCATTAACATTTACAGTATCAAATAGATGAATATGATCCGATTGAATAACTAATTTTGATGGTGCATTATCTAAATAAAAATGCAATATACATGGTTAGTTTCTTTGTCTTTTTTTTTTCTCTTTTTTTGTAAGTACCATTAATAATTGGTTTGCATGATTTAATGATTTTTAAAGTAACTCGAGCTGATTGACTAATCATTCTTGAATTATTATTTGATGAATCACAATCAATAGCCATAACATCAAATTCATATTGATCGTTATTTAATGTTGCTGTTGTCGATATTATACCATTTGAATTAATAGAAAAAGGCACATTTGGTGTTATTATTTTATAGCCACATACTTGATGATCTTGATTAGCACAATCATCATCGGTTGCTTCGACCTAAATAGGAAAATAATATTTTAAGATCATAATGGTTCTTGTATTTAGCTCTAAGTAAAATGAGAGGAAAAAATAACATCAATTAGACTTGTTTATGCTTGTTTGTTTGGTCGAATATGTCTTAATTATGAGGATTATTTTTAGTGTTCTTGATGTTTTGAATCTTATTTAGACAAGTTTTTTAGATTCTGTTTACAGGAATAAAAAAAAAAAACTTCATATTCCTTTCTATTTCCGATCTGTTTAATTAACAAAATAAATATGAGTTCTTTTTCTAGCTTACTCGACATGATGCAGAATCGCACGTTTGATTTTCATGTAACTTGAATAGATAATGACTATGTGTAAATACTGGTGCATATTCATTAACATCATCAACAGTAATTATTAATGATGACCTATATAATAAGACAAAAAACAGATTATCTATACTTCAGCATTTGGTTTTTTTATTCCTCGAGTATTATTACTGCTATTATTAGTTTAAGCGCTTAGACAATTTACCTTGAGATAAGCGTCTATAGAAAAAAAAAGTGTTTTTTTTGTACCTTTCTGAATAACGACGCTTTTCTATAGGTGCACAATCGTACGCACGTATATACATGCGATAAGTTTGTTGTATTTCACAATCGAGTGTATCAATATTTGATTTAAATTTAAGAATAGGTTGATTATTAACAAGATCAACAGTAAATGGAACGTTTCGCGTTATATCATCAACAATATCATCATGCTTATGCCATGATACTTCGTAACCACAAATTTTACCTATATAGGAAAAATTCTTTTTTCGTTTTAAAAAAAAAGGAATAAATTCTTGAGTGATAACCAACCATTTAAAGAATTCGATGGATCAGCATCGGATGCAGACAAAGGAGGCTCAATTTGACCAGTATATTCATTTTCTTTAATATGGCCAGTATAAGAATTGGCGGAAAGAACTGGATCAAATAAATTCATTTTTGTCCTTGAATATTTCGTTTCTGTTGACATAACTCTTGTATTTGTCAAGGCTATTTTTGACAATTAAACGATTAAAAAAGTAAAAAATAATAATTAAACCGCCTTGAAATTTTATATCGAACTTACCTGTAATAGTAACGATAAATATTAACCAAATCATTATAGGTAATCGCGATGTATGTAACATCTAGAAGCTCAACGAATGAGTAGCTCAAAAAAGAGTCATCAACATTATTAATATATATTTAACAAAAGAAAAAAAAAAGGACTAACACGGCGATGACGATGCATGAAAATGGTAGTCTTATTAATATTTCTACTCTTAGTTGTCGATGAAAAAAGAGAGCGAAGGAGAAAGAAAAAAATAGAGAAAGCTTGATTTTTATGGCTCATTCCGTATGTTTCTCTTGTCTCCCTTGTCGCCTTTTTTCTCCCATTCTATCGCTCTCCTTTCTCTTCGTTTTTCTCCTCTCAATGGTTCTCTTTTTTTTTTGAATTATGTGTATACGATGTGTAACATTGTTGGCTTTTGTTTAGTAATTTTCCTACCGTTTCTTTTTTTCTTTACATACGCATTCATACATTATTATTTTTTCTATATTTTGTACGACAGAAAGAGTAAGAAAAGTGAATAAGAACAAGGCAACTAAGAAAAAAACCACCGAAGAAGAAATACAAAAAAGAAAAATTCGTAGATTGTCATCATTATTGATGTTTTCACCTGCGGCTATATACACATATATAATATCAAAGTTCGTTTATTTGGAAAGATTATATCGTATATTTAATATACAAAATAACAACTAAAAATAATTCTAAAAAATCGTTCCTGTTTTTGTTTTCTAACAAATAATTAATCAAAAGATCCAGTAACACATGTCACAACATTTCCTTGAGATGTATAGGCTGTTTTTGTTGTTTTAAATGTTTCTGTCTTTGTAAATGGTTCTATATCGTCATCATCATCATTAGGTACATCAGAATAGTTCATAGACGGTGTAATATTTGATTCTTGTTGTTGAAGAATGATATTATCAGTTATTGTAATTATATTATCTGGTTCAATAAGTTGTTTTGGTACAAGAATTATTTGTCCTTCAATAGTTTTACCAATAAGATAGGTTGTGTTTAGTTCTAAATTATGACGATATGTTGATTCTAATGTAACTATACAACGTTTTGATTGCTCAATTGTTTGATGTTGTGCAGTTGAATAGAAAACTTTTCGACGGCGCGGTTTCAATAATTTGATTTCAGTTTCATTTTTATGGTTATTTGTACCATGTGATGAGTGTAATGTGGATGACGAATGAAGACGACGACGACGATGATGATGATGATGATGATGATGATGATGAATTGGTGTAGAAAATGTTTTCTTTAATGATTCAAGGCGCTGAATAAGTGTTGGCGATGATGCTGGTAAATCTATCATTGATTTACAGCGAGTTTGAAGCTAAAAATTGACAAGAGAATTGTTAAGGTCTATTTTTAAAAATTTCTTTGTTTCTCACTTATAATAAGTACAAAACAAGAAAAAACAGATAACAAATGAGTGAAGTGTACTAAGACAATTTCTTTTCTTTTTATTTGTTTTTATTGTTTATATGATTTTGTACTGGTATCTAGACATCAATAAATGAAAGTTGCTTTTGCAATAAGAGATCTGGAGAGCGGTTAATTAGGAAATTGTTTTCAAATTTCTTAGATACAGATGAGTATGAGATATTGTGGGTACAATTGACAAAAACATATTCAATCGTTTTTCTTTCTTTTGTATAGTAAATAAAACAGTTATATTTTCCATGAGATACAAATTTTTTGTCAAGTTCCTCTAGCAATATTGTATGAAACAAAACCTTTCAAGTAATCAAATAGTACTGTTAATCTATTTGAAAATGAAATTTAGAAATAGTTTGATTATAAATTATCATATGAATAGAATTAGATTGAAGTGTATAGCTTCTTGCTTTGGTATTGAAAATTAAATAAATAGAAGACTACCTGAAGCATTGTTTGTCTGTATTTGAGACAAGTGTTTATTTGTGTTATTAACAATTCAGAATTTTCACGTTGTTCAAGGACATAATCAATATGTTTAATTAATGGCATTGTTTTATTAATTTGTCTTTTATTAATCCAATATTCATAAATTTTTTTTGATATATTTTCATCATAATCATTTGGACATTCGTCATGTAAATGAGAAGATGAAATAAATGTAAAAAATTTCTGATAACATTCATTTATCCATTGTTCATTTTTTAATTGATCACGACGATAAACAGTTAATGGCATTGTTGATGGTAATAATGATGAACATGACGAATCATCTTCACTATCTTTATTTGTTAATAATATTGATGTTTCTTGTTCAGAACGTTTTCTAGCCTCATCGGAATGTTTACCACAGTAAGCATTAAATTGTGAACGAGCTGTAGCTGATTCTTTACAAGATGTTTGTTGAATATCAAGAAAATAACCAGCAATAAGACCACAAGTGACCTTGAAATAGAAAGAAGAACATGAGAATTTTATTATTTGAATATAAGAAACATTTTCATTTCATTCAGCATTAATTCATAGATTTAAAAAAAAAGTTCGCTGTCATCATAAAGTTTCTTGTAATTTTAATGGTTTCACTAGTGTTTCGTAGTGATATAATATTATTCTTTACATATAATGTATGATAATTCATCTCAAGAAAAATTCATCATGAAGCCTTAATATTATTCCTATCGAAAACTTATTAGTATCTTCAATTGATTACGACTAATAATAGTTTTCATTTTAGACACATACATGAAATGGTGTTCGACAATTTTTATGTGCACATTGTACACAAGCACCTTCCGATGTTGAACATACAACACAACGAAGAGACCAACGTGCATGTGGAATTTTATTTATATTTAATATAGGTTCCTATTCAAATATTCAAATATAAAATTAATATATTAATCTTTATTGTCCTACCATATTAGCATAATCAACAAATTTAAGTTCCGGTAACCAAAGAGCACATGTTAAATGACACCAAATCGTTCCACTTGCTGTACTTTTCATCGGACCACCAAGTCTAAAATAAGATTTCTTTTTTCAAAAAATTTCTTTTCAATTTAAATGTATTCTACCTCGGACAAAGAATACATGCAGGTCGTCTTAAAATAGAACAAGGTTTACAAAGCCATGTTTCACTTGGTATAACTGGTATACCATAACAATTTTGATGTACACAACAATGACATCGTTCACAAAAAACCATTTCATTACCATCATCACCATCGGGTAATAAACATATATCACAGACAATATTTTCATCTTCACATGATTTTTGTTTAAGATAAGCACGAATTTTTTCAGCTGTTGAAAATTCTAGAATAATGACTGCATTTTCAAATTCTTCTTCACTTATTTCTCGTTTTTCTATAAGAAAACAAAAAATAATCTATGAAAAAATACGAGAAGAAAAAAGAAAAAATGAAAATATTTATACGTTTGGTTTTATTATTATGATTAAGTTCATGGAGAAATTTAAGATCATAATCATCTAAATCATAATCAAGTTCATGCATAACTGCTTTCATAATTAATTGAGTTGAATCACTAGACACAAAAGACAAAAAAAAAAAAAGAATTCATCAATTGTATATTTCAATACGAAAATTTTCTCTGCCCTAAGCCTTATTATACAAGAGATTTTTAGACGCCATAGTACAAAATAGAGCTTCCATGCGTGCAAATGATTTTTCAATAGACTTTAAGCTATAGCATTTAGGCTACAAGCTCATCCAAAAGAGTATTCCTGCTCGATTCGGATAATGAAAATGGTTTTTGATTTAATTTTTAAAGCTACCAAAATCTTAAGCAATGTTCTCTAGAAAACTCATCATTGTTTTTATATTGAAGGTCAAAGTACAAAATCTCTTTCCTTCATCCGAAAGAGAATATATCTGAAAAAGCAATTTCAAGAAAGCACATGAGGACATTTTTGTATATTTACATGAAGAGGTTCCTGGCATGAACATGAAATATAATTATATTATGTACTAATTAAAATTTAGCTAGAGCCTTATCAAGTAGCGTTCTAGCTACATAATATTGAACTATGATATAGGACAATAATTGTCATAACTATTATAATTTTCAAAGGAATCATGTTTTTTATGTTTATCATAAAAGAAGTCTTTTCAAAAAGATCTGATCTTTTGAAGAAGAATATCCTAAGGCCACCCCACTGAAAAATTGATCTAGAGCCAGATACATTCGTATTGTATTGAATTTTCAGGATATGTTAAGTCTGTAGTGAAAAAGCTATGGTAAAATTTTCAGTCCTATACCATGACATTTTCGGGACTTACTCAACAAACAAAAGTCAAAAAACCCATTTTACTGTTCGGATTTCTCTGTGGGTGTTCACTCCGTGTGCTTAATGTTTTGTGTTCGAAAGAGTGTGTTAAGATGTAGGACATTGTGAAGTTATCTTTTTTTAAAAGCTTTTCTTTTAGATTCAATGTCTTGAAAAATTTTTAAAAAATGGCACTAATTAAAAAAAGTACTCTTCTATAATAGTAACAACACCTAATTCACAAAAGGGATTCTGTCATGTTCTTTCAAACAAAAACAGAAATTAAGTACATATAATTAAGATCTACAGAGGATTTTTGGTTATGCAATCGAAAAAACAATCACACTTTTCAAGTACAAGGTGACAGAAATCATCGAAAAATGTTGACAAAAAAAAATGCGATGCCAAATTTAAGAGTAATGTAAGAATAATAATAAAATAGTAGAAGTAAGTAAAAAGTGCATTTGAAGAATAATGAGAAATAATATTCTTAATTATTTATGTAATACATACGTTGGTCGATCAATACGATCATTATTATTTAAATTTGATTTATTTATTTGAACTGTTTTTGATAACGTTTTATACGACACAGTTTGTTTTCTATTATTTAATATTGATTGATTAATAGGAATAGATAATTTATACCATTCAGGTTGTCGATCAGTTACTGTCCAATATGATGACTTAGAATTTGTTGCTGCGGAAGTTGTAGTAAATACAAGTTTATTCGTAGGAACAAGTGAAGATTGTTTTTCTGTCTGTTGACTATCATTTGTATCACTGATAGATTCATTAACAGAACCATTTTCATGAAAAATCATTGGTGACAATGAACTACTTGATATTGATGATAGAACATTCTATTACAGAAAACAAAACAAAAAAACAGAGAGGAAAAAATATTTTCGTTTATATATTACTGTTCGACGTCGTTGAGATCGACGATGACCTGTTGAAGTTTTTGTTATTGATGGTTTGATTTTAATATGACGATTTGATGATGATACTGATGAAAATGAATGAGTTTTTCGATTTTTAGTTACATTCATGCTTTTTTTTTTGCTTCGCAATAATTTATGAAAACAAATAAAGAAAATAGAAATAATCTTTTTTAAAGCAATCTTCTGCTTTAATCACAGATTTTAAAATGTATTGTATAAATGTAAATTTATATGGAAATAAACATAAAATTTAAAAATTCATTGATATTCTAATAACATTGATAAAATTTGTTTTTTTTTTTTATTTAATTAAAACAAAATAAAAATCTAAAAGAAAAAAAAAAGAAGAAAAACTAATCTCATATTCAAATCAAGTGAAATAAAGTTTGAATTAATTTAAAAATTAGTAACAGAATTTCATTTTCTTCAATGGATGACTTCACAATAAGAGACTCTTAAAAGTTTTCATTTTTTGTTATCTTAATGTTGTCTTTATCAAAGTGGAATCCTACAAGTGCACAACTTAAAATCCTATTCATCTCAAGCAAAATGAGACTTACAGTTAATTAGAATCAGTTTTACTGAATTTCGTCAAACACATTTGTTTTAATGAAAATTCAATTCAATCATAAGAAATAATTCATTCTGCAAGATCTGTATGAATATTTTTATTTATCATAGGAAGAAGAGAGTAAAGATTTAAGTGTCTTCCCATAAAACATAAATAAAGATGTGCGATACTAAGGGTTATAACATCGGTCCCGTTAACTTCTTTTCTAATGGTCCCGGTTATAACCTTGATAAATTGAATCTAGCCCTGATCCTAGTGATTTTAGTTTTTTGGATCTCAGTCTAGAGAAAACTATTCGGAAACTTATTTGTATCACATCTGAAAACTTCTTTTATATTAATTTTTTATATCTAATTAGTCAACGATTGCTACTTTCTTGGACTATCTCTCTTGAATTATGTTCTGATTGATATGACCTATAAGATAATTCGCTTAAAATCATAGAATATTTAACAACAATTGGGAAAATTATTTTTTCCTCATTCTCGTGATTCTCCTAATCCCACACATCTCTAACCATAATCTATTATAGTTAGTGTCTTCCGTTCATCAGAAGCCTTAGAATTAATTGATGAAATTTACTCTTTCCTTTAAAAAACAGTTTTGTTATGTTTTTTTTTAATTTTCTGAACAAATTTTTAATATATAAAAAAAAGAAAATTAGATGATGATAATTTTTATTCTTTTATCGCTCACATAATAACGGGCAATAACAAGAAAAAATAATAATAATTTATTTCTTAGAAATCATAATCGAGATAATCATTATCAAAATGATGTATTCGTACGAAACCATCTTCACCACCACTTGAATAACTAAAAATTAAAAACAAAAAAAAAAAAACGAAACTTTTCTTTTTCATAACAAAAATAAAACAAACCTTTTGCCATCAGGATGAAAAGCAACAGTATTTATAGGTCCAAAATGACCTTTTACTCGTGCAAATTCTTCTTCAAATATTAAATGAAAGAATCGAGCTTCAAATTTTCCTGATTGAGCTGCAGTTTGTGTGACCTAAGAAACGAAAGAATAAGAATACTTTTAATAATTGAAATATTTCAAATTTACTTCAATAGCTTCTTGACCACCACCAAGTACAACATGATCTTTAATTGGTGATATAGCAGCTGAATTAACAGGACGATCTGTTGTATATGTTTTCAAATGTTCCAATGTTTCAACATCAAAAAGCTAGAATATAAATAAATTATTTCTTAAAAAAATTTCTTTTTCAAATTTCTTTTACTTTAGCCGTGCAATCTTTTGATGATGAAATTAAAAATGTTAAATCTCGATTTGTTTGTAAATCCATAATTTGGAATTGATGAGGTTTTTCTTTACGTATATCTTCTTGCATCTAAATTATCATTCACATAAAAAAGAAAAATCATAAAAAAATATTACTTTGATATCCCATTGAACTAATTCACCATTATCATGACCAGTTATTATAAATTGATCTAATGTACCCCATAATGCACTTGTCACTTTACGATGTCCTAATTGTGAAACATTTATACGAGCTGATGGACCTTCACTAGCTAAAACCATATGAAATCAATAAAAAAAAAATCTATAAAAATTTTCTTCTTTTATAAACATACGTCTCATTCTAAGATCAGTCAAATACAATTCACAAGGTTTGCCCATAACATCATCATTTGTATATAAAATATTATTTCCATCATAACTAAATGCACAACATCGTGCTGGTGCTTCAAGTGTATACGAATTTCTTTCACGTCCTGTTTGTACATCCCAAACACGAACACTACTATCAGCTGATGCTGATACAAATGATGTTGTATCCCAATTAACATCTATTGTCCATACTGTTCCATTATGTCCATTATACGTACCCAAACGTTCACCATTTATCGAATACCATACGCATGGAATTTTATCTTTACCAGATGTAAATAATAAATCACCTTCACGATTGTATCGAATTTTTGTTAACGAACGTTCATGAGCTTGTAAAAGAATTGGTCTCTAGAAATAATTAAATTCAAGAAAAATAGAAAAAGAAGTTTGTTTTTCATATCGTACCATTTTGATTGATTGAATTTCAAAGAATGATGTTTATCTAAAAATATATAGAAGATTGTTTTAGAAATCATTAAGATATTAAATATATAGCATTAAACACGATTCTAGACAGGCATTTTTTTTTCTTGCAGGACTTAAGATTCATTTGGACCGTAGGGTTTTATTTTTGCTGACATACTTCATTCAAATGGAAAATAATAATAATATTCATTTCGTTTAGTTACTCAAGTAATTCTTGAAGCATATAGGAGATTATGGAAGTACTCTTAGGTTTGGGATTTGCATATTTCAGAATATCATCAACTTTTTGTTTTAGAAAGTCTATTGCCTTTCAGTTTTGGGATCGTTTACTTGATTGTGTGTAGAGCTAACCGTGAAAGTCTTCCTTTTGGTTTACTAATACTCCCTAGTTTTATTAATTAACTGAAAATGATTGTATTCAAGACTGAACTCGAATGTTCGCGTTCGGTATATGCTTAGCTTATTTAAACTTTTTGAAGGAGGAATATTCTAGTCAACGATTTAATAGTTTTCGAAAAAAGGAAATCGAATCTTAACCATTTGTATTATATAAATACGTCTTTAAAACTAATTATCAGTAGAAGGAGAAGTCGGAGACCATTAGATACTACTGAAAATATCTAAAATTATTGGATAGATATTTAGTTATATATTTATAAAGTGTTGTTAACGTAAAATGAATCGTGAAAAATATTCTCGGACAATGATACTAGCTTAAATATTCATTAGAAGAAGAAAATTTGAATAAATCTATTGAGGACGATGCTCAACTGTAAATCTCATTATTTTCTGGGTATCAAACAAGTATTAGAAAATGTTTTCAAGTCGAGATTGAGATCTTTCAATTTCAATCATGTACTCTAAAAATAGAAAAAAACGAGAATAGACCTATGACTAGTTTTTATTTAATATCAAGTGAAAATAAAGTGTTGCGAATAAAGTTGACAAAATGAAGTTAAAAAAAAAAGTGTAATACAAATGAAATAAATTTTTTAAAAAGGAAACTTATGACTTTAAGTAGTGAGCAAAGTTAATAGATCACGTACAATGCAAGGTAATACACAATAAAAATAATCAAATATATCTCTACGAGATTTTATCCCTCTTTACGCAATACATTTTCAAGTAATTACGTAAGGTATTAGTCATAGTAAATAAAATTTTGTCTATTTTTCGAATAAAATGTATGCACCTAAAAATTCCAAAAAAAAAAAAAAAAAAAAGACGAAAAGATTTGGAATCCGTTAGAACTAAAACTAAAAGAAAAAAGAAATTCGGAATGTCCTTAAATTCATAAATAAATAAATTATTTGTTTTTTGGTGTCCATTTTCGATTTTTATTAATAAAATTAATTAAACCATTAGTTGATGAATCATGAGCTGTAATAGATTGATTAGCATCTAATTCTGGTAGAATAACTTTTGCTAATTGTTTACCAAGTTCAACACCAAATTGATCATATGAATTAATATTCCATATTTGTCCTTGTATAAATATTTTATGTTCATATGCAGCAATTAACATACCCAATGTAAATGGTGTTATACGTGGTAAAACAAATGAATTTGTTGGTCGATTACCACGAAATGTTTTATGATAAATAAGAAGTTCATCATTTGAATTATGATTTAATCGAACTTCATCTTCAGTTAAACCACGCATTAAAGCTTCGGTTTGTGCAAGAAAATTAGCTAATAATATTTTATGATGAAGATTATCACGTATTGGATTTTGTGTTTCAATTGGGGCTATGAAATCACATGGAATTAATTTTGTACCTTGATGAATTAGTTGATAAAATGCATGTTGACCATTGGTACCAGGCTAGAAGAAAAGAAAATATAATTAAAAAATTTTAATAAAATAAATATTTTTTGTTCAAATGTATAGTTTACGTTGAGGATAAATTTGAGAGTATTCAATGAATTTTTTTGGGGGAATTTTGATGTATTAGTTAGATGGGAAGTGGATAGAAGTTTAGAAAAGTGATTATTTCAAAGGACAATATTTTTTCAGAAATCTTTTAAGACTATGCTAGTGTTTTGATATTTTACTTATAGACAAAGTAAGAAGCCGAAATTTAGAAAAAATTCTCCAATCAGCCTCTTGAATTATTGATTCATTCCTTAGTGTACATGAGCGGAACGAGCTATTTTTAGTTTCGATTTCGCCGGGATCACGACTATCTTGCCCATATCTATAGTTAAGATATATTAAAAATATTATTGACTTACCTCTCCCCAAATAATTGGTCCAGTTGTATAATCAACTTGTTTTCCTTCTTTTGTTCGATATTTTCCATTACTTTCCATATCACCTTGTTGAAAATAAGCTGAAAATCGATGCATATATTGATCATAAGGTAAAATAGCATGAGTTTCAGCCGTTAAAAAATTATTATACCATATACCAAGTACAGCCATAATAACAGGTAAATTTTTTTCTAATGGCATTTCTTGAAAATGTTTATCCATAGCATGAGCACCAGCTAATAATTGTTGAAAATTATCAAAACCAATAGCACATACTATTGAAAGACCAATAGCTGACCATAATGAATAACGACCACCAACCCAATCCCAAAATTCAAACATATTTTCTTTAGCTATACCAAATTCCGTTACTTTTTGTGTATTTGTTGATAAAGCAACAAAATGTTTTGCAACATATTTTGGATCATGAGCTTGATTAAGAAACCATTCTTTAGCTGATTCAGCATTTGTTATAGTTTCTTGTGTTGTAAAAGTTTTTGATGCTATTATAAATAATGTTGTTTCAGGTGATAACTTTGCTACAGTTTCACATAAATGTGTACCATCAATATTTGAAATAAAATGAACACGTGGACCATTTTTTGCATATGGCTAAATAACAAAAAAAACACACGATTGATGTTTATTAGCTTTTTCTTTATTGTTTTGTAATGATAGTAGTATTGATAAAGTTAAGCAAAAAGAAGGCAAATATTGAATAGATATATGTGTAAAAAAATTTACTATGTAATGAAGAGGGTACTCTTTTATTTTCAAAACATTCTTTTTTCAAATCGGTCGATTTGTGTAGAGGGAAAGCATAAAAGTACTTTTTCTATTGGTGTTTTCACACCTCACTGGGATCTATTTTACAGATAGAGTCCGAACTCGAAAACGATTTATTACTTGGAACGATTTCCTCATCAAGTTCAATGGTACACTAATTCGACTTGAGACGAAAACTCTTTTGGCATAATGTTAAACAGAATTATCTTAATGGACAGTTGTCAAAACTACAACAATCTAATGTCAAAGAAAATTGATTATAACCTGTCGCCAACTACATATTTGATTTGAAAAGAATCTTCAGAGCATAATATAAAATTGTAATGTGCTTGTTGAAATTTCTATCTAACTCTTTCTGCTAACGCTGTAATACCATCATATTTAAAAAATTTTATTATGCTTAAATTCATGATGATACCTTTACAATTTAATTCTTTCTTGCCTTTAGCCTAAACCTAACGGTTCGAACGACCGATTTGTTCAATTAGACCAACCTTATGACTTCTAATATATACAAGAAAAGTTTGAACCGAGCCTATCAAGCACCAAGATATTAAATAAGTAATGCGTTTGATAACTACATATGATTTATATCGTTCGCTGTAGATGTAGCTGAACATAATGCTCGTCTATCTATTCGACTGAATTATAGACCTACTAGAACCCGTCGGGGTCCGAAAACTTCGAACCTGATAGGCGCTATGTCACACAGTTCTCAGGCAACTCGTCTAAGGAATATGTAAAATGCACTAATCACCAAATACAGAAAACCGGAAACAAGGATTTCGCGTCTTTGGGATGGCTTTTCTATGCCAATTAGAAAATTTCATTGATAGTATCAAAGTACAGCTCGACCAGGTTCGATCCAATAATTTTGGACCCGACGAGCTCTAACACTCTCACTTCTGTTTTTGCTAATAAAATTTTTCTTTTTCATTTGAAGTCAACAAACGAATATATCGATTTCAGTTTTATACTATTAACTTACTTTCAATGCTTCTGTAACCATTAATGGACCAAGATCTGATCCACCAATACCAATATTAACAACATCTGTTATTGATTTTTCTGTATAACCTTTCCATTGACCATTTCGAATAGCTTCTGAAAAATGTTTCATTTGTTCTAAAACTCGATGAACATCAGGTAAAACATTTTTTCCATCAACAATAACTTCCTTTCCATCTTTTGGTGTACGTAATACCGTATGTAAAACAGCTCGTTTTTCAGTAAAATTAATTAATTCACCTTGAAACATTTTTGTACGTTGTTCTTCAATTTGACATTCTCGACATAGAGAAAATAATTCTCGTAAAATATCATTATTAATTAAATTTTTTGAATAATCAAATAAAAACAGACCATCAGGTGTATTAATTTCTAATGAATAATGTTCAAAACGTTTAAAATCTTCAAAAAATAATTGTCGTAGACTAAGATTATTTCCAATTGTATCATGAAGTTGTTTTAAATTTTTCCATGCAATTTTATCCGTTAAATTCGACATTATCTAGAATTATAATTAATTCTTATTTACAATCATTCTCTTTCTCTTTGTTCTGTATGTATTTATCTAATGTTTGCTTCAAAACTAAGGTCAAAAAAAATCTGACCAAGAAAATAAAATAAAGACTTGTTACTTTAGTCTAAACACAAATTTATATATAATATATATGATTTATCTGACTAGATCAGTTTTTACTACTATACATGCTGTTTCAATGAGAAGATTTAGTTTATCAATATTATAATTATGATCATAATTATTGACTGTTTTATGTAACCAACAACAATGTTCATCTGTAAGATGATTTTCGGTTGAATTTAATATTATATGTACAAGTGATAGAATGAATTGAAATAATGATGATGATTGAGATTGTACATGTGTAACTAATTGTTTTGATGGTGGAATCCATTGAATGATATTTGTTGTTGTTGTT